TGACAATATAAGCAGCCATAAAGCCATACAATCAATTTGCAACGCTTCAAACGTTAAAAAATGTACAAAAGCCTACTCTGCTCAACTAGCATGCCGCTAAGCCTGCACCCATTTCGTTTCTGCTGATGGATGCTTGCAAAATCGTGGGGTTTTTCAAACGGAAAAGTTAAGGGAAAGCAAGATATAGGAACGCGTTAGAAAAAGACCAGTAAATGATCTTTTACATTATTTAAAGCTAATCTAGGAAGAAGAACGATATTTGCAGGGAATAATGTAGTTAGCGGTCAACTATCTGTATTAGCATGTTATGACCGCAAACACATTTATTTCGCTTCATTAACCATCATAAAGTAAGGTAAAACCGATACAAACCTTGAATGTGCAGCATTGCGTCGAGGACATGGTGAGCAATAGGAAGATACAGGAGCAGTGGAGTTCGCACCCGTGATTGGACCAGCTACATCCAAATTCAACACCTCTCCATCGGGAAGAGATGTTGATCTACATCAAACATTTAAAATGTCACAGAGAACAGGAGATTAATGACTTACCTTTTTCTTAGAACCACATCATTTTCATTTGGGAAGGAAGAACGACTTGCCGGTTGAAAGCAGTTTCGCGTCGATGAAAATGGAGGCCTCCGGATGCTTCGGCTGAACGTTCTTCTAAGTAATTTCATAATTATTCAGTTGATTATGAAATTTCTGCGGTGGAGTTAAAATGGCCACGCTACCAAGAGATATAAAGAAAACGACATTGAAAGTTACCTATGACTGGTTGCATCATTTTGTAGAGTTGTTCCCGGTGAATCTTCTTCGTGAACGCTGGGGAGCTCCTTGTACGAGTTGCCCATAGACACAACTCCACCATTCATAGCCGAGTAAAAGGCATTTGACTGCAAGTCGGTGTTAGTCTGCAAAAATATCTGTGGAAATGCGCGTGGTGTCCACGATAGACATCTTTACAATTCAGAAATTAACCTACCTGTGTTGACGGCCTCACAGTGCCTATAATTCGCTTCAAAAATGACTGATCTTTCTGCGTCGATAGTGAAACCGTTGATTCGCGATTGAGTCCTAGAGCAAAAGCCGATAGCCAGAGAAATTTTTCGAAAAAAAAAACACTAACCAAATCCAGATCCTCGTATAGTTCTAAAGGTTGAATTTCTGGGGAATATTTCTGGAGCAAGTGTTGGCTCTTCGCGCTCCTCATCATCATCCGAAAACTCATAACCTTCAGCATCTAATAGCCAGTATGTAGTCATCTGTCCCTTTCCCTTAAGAAGATGGAATAAACTATAAGAAGTGCATGAATATGTCTTTCAAAAAATTTCGCCTATTAATCCCATACCTTGATGGAAAGAGTACCGCGCTCCTCCAGCATGAACCCAGGAATTGCCGATAACACATCTCGAGTGGGTTGTGAGCAATGGATTTTGAGTGCTGGAAGGGAATTTTTTTAAAAAGATTACTTAAGCAGTCTAAGCGAAGAACTTACGTTCTCCGTTGCTCTCCATACGACTTGCAGTGTTCACAGTATCACCAAACAAACAATACCTAAACACTTTCTTTATCAACTACTCAGCTGTATTGCTAAAGCTCCTACCTCGGCATAGTTTTGCCCACAACACCAGCAACGCAGCTTCCAGTGTGGATTCCAATCCGTAACATAAGCTGTTCACTAGGGCGATGCGGAATTTTGAAATTCCGCACGGCTCTTAATAGTCGTAGGGCCATGAGAGCTAAAGACAAAAAGTCGAAATTTTTTTTACAAAGCATGCATCTAATCTCACCAATCTCCTTCGCATGGAACTGGGTTTCCTTAAAGTTTGGAACTCCGGATACTACCATGTATGCATCGCCAATCGTTTCCACCTAAACACACCCCAACGTTTTCCTCGTTTAAAAAATTCTGCCGCTGATCAGATGCTCATTGTGTTATACGCCATTCAACTCTCACATCAGACTAAACCCCTAAACGCAAATTCATATTCTGCAAGAAATTACCTTATACACATCGTACTTTTGAATGATCCTGTCGAACTTGGTATACAGCTTGTTCAGAAAAGCCACAACCTGTAAACAAGGCTCAAAACTTTACATGAACTAAGGTGTGCAACTTCACAAAACAAACCTGCATGGGGGTGGATTCGCCAGAAATTCTGGTAAATCCAACAATATCTGAGAAATAAATAGTAACAGAAGGAAACGACTCGGGTACAACATCTTGACCGTTGAGAAGTTGTTGGGCGACACTTCTGAATAATACAAATTAAATGTATAGGTCTTTCGCACATATCTGGGAGAAGTTT